AAAAAAAAAAGAAAAATAATCTCAGTCTTGGGGCCAGCAGGTGGCATGGTGGTTAAGGGCATCAGACTCCCACATGGCCAACTGTGGTTCAAGTCCCAGACCTTGTCAAATTAAAATAAATAAAGTTAAAGAAATGAATTCTTAAAAAAAAGGTGCCAGTCTCTTAAAATAAATACATAAAATAAATAAAGTTAAATAAAATAATTCTTTATAAAAATGAAAGCAAAAAACAAAAAGGGGCTGGTAGGTGGAGTGGTGATTAAGGATACTGGACTCCCACATAGACGACAAGGTTCGAGTCCTGGACCTGGCGGCTTGCTTTCTCACGTTTTCTCTCTCTCTCTCTGGTCAAATAAAATAAATAAATAAATAAAATTAAATAAAATAATAATTTAAAAAAAATATGTGGGGCCAGCAGTTGGTGTAGTGGTTAAAGGCGCTGGACTCCCACATGGCTGACCATGGTTCAAGTACTGAATCTGGTGGCTTGCTTTCTAACTTTCCCTCTCTCTCTCTGTCTGATGAAACTGGAAAGTAACAATAATAATAAATAAAGTTAAATAAAATAATTCTTTAAAAAAATGTGCCAGTCTCTGCACCAAGGATATTGCATCTATTACATAATTTAACCATTATTTTGCCATCAGGTAAAGTGATATTACTGTCGTCATTACCTTCTGGATGCAGAAAATTTCTGAAAGATGTGAGCTGACCAAGTACAGAAAGCTAGAAGTTGGGGAACTGAGTTTTATCTGAGGTCTGTCTGTGCCATGAGGGGCTCCTCCAGTACCTGGTTCAGGGTAGGTACCCTAACAAGGGATCATCCAGAGGAGGGCTTGTAGGAGAGTAAGCAAAGCATGTGGAGTTGGGGGGTGGGAGGGGTCAGGAAGCTGCCCGTGAAGATACTGAAGACATTTAGCTTGTAGAAGGAACAACTTCGGAGACTTGGGCAAGTATTTTAAGGGCTGCTCAAGAGAAACTGGATCCTGCACCGTGACTGCGGTTCGAGGTATTGGCCCAGTCGGCCTGAGACACCCCAGGTGCGTGTTCCAGTGCCTGGGTCTGATGGGCTGGGGCCGGAGGAAGGGGAGAGCTGTGAGACCAGACTCTGTGGAGGTGCTCATCTCCTCTCTCTCTGACTCTCTCTCACTTTTGTCCACAGACACATGTTATTGTGAATATAATATTTGAAGGAGGTCCGGACCACAGCCTGGTGGTTAAGGAAGATGGATCTCACATGGGTAACCATAGGGTTCAAATCCCAGACCTGCTGGCATGAAAAATAAACCACACTGGGCATGTGTGCATGTGTGCCCGAAGTACTGATGAATGGAGAGATGGAAGAAACGGGATTATGGTGTGAGCGTACTCCATTGGATGGTGCTTCCATCCCACTTCACTCGCTTCTCTCTCTCTCTGGTGAACCATGTGCCTTCTGGCAATTAAAAAATATGTATTTGAAGGAAGAGTTGTCAGTAGCAAATAATAATTTGATATATATATTTTAAAGGTTTTTGCCATGGGGCATGTGCACTCACCGGAGAAAGACAGAGACAGTGAGAGGGAAAGTGGGAAATTATCCCCCAGGGGGGTATGACCACATCACAATCCCTTCTCCTCCATTCTCATCTTGGGATTTTGAGTGCATGCACACAAGCCCTGCATGATTTTCAAGCCACCAGGACTCAAACCATAGTTGGTCATGTGAGAGTCCAGCACCCTAACCACCATGCCATCTACTCTGCTGGCCTCGTAATTTGGCATTTTATGTAACTCTAGAGAGCAATGGCTAGAAAGTACTAGGAAATCATGAGATAGGTTCCAATTCGTTGAAAGATTTTTTTTTTTAATTTGTCATAGGGTACATGTGTTCCCCTGAGAGAAACAAAGAGAGGAAATGTGAAAAAGTACCCTGCAGGGGGGTTCTCCTGAGAGAGACAAAAAGAGGGAAAGTGAGAAAGCACCCTCCAGGGGGGATGGCCATACCACAGTCTCTTCTCTTCCATTCTCCTCTCAGGGTTTTGGGCACACACACACCCAGTGTGACTTTCAAGACAACAGGTCTGGGATTGGAACTGCTGTTGTCTATGAGGGAATCCAGCACCTTAACCACCATGCCACCTGCTGCACTAGCATGGCTTTTATGACAGCATATTATTATAATTGCCTTACTTTATTACCAGTTACATTGTTAGTCTCTTACAGTGCCTAATTTCTAAATTAAACTTTATCATAGGAATGCAGGTATAGGGGAAAAATAATAGTATACATTGGTACTGTCTGTGGTTTCAGGCTTCCACTGGGGTCTTGAAATTCATCCCCCAGGGATAAGAAGGGTCTATGTTTCTCTCCCTAGGATTTTAAATTCCTTTGAGAGTAAAGAGAACAGCTTTGCACTTGGCAGGCACTCAAATGCTTGTTTCAATTTAATAACACAAAGTTTGTCTTTGGATTACATATTGCCTTGTTTCCTGTTTTAGGAGTAGACTATAAGCCTCCTGAAGTCAGGGACTGTGATTTACATGTATCTGTATTTCCCCTACAGCACTCAGTAGGTGCTTGATAAACACTACTTAAACTTGGGTGCAACTGGAAGCAGACCTTCCACCCAGGAGATGCAGACAAAGGAATGAGAGCCAAGGCAAAGGAGGCAAAAGATCAAAGAGCGTCTTTTTTTTTTTTTTCCTTCTTTTTTTTTTTTTTGCTACAAGGCACAAGTGCTGGCGTGGAGGGGTGGGTAGAGAGAAGGAAAGTGAGAAATCACTTCCTAGGGGGATGAAAGTGAGAAATCACTTCCTGGGGGGATGGTTACACCATAACCCCTTTTCCTCCATTTTTCCTTTCAGGATTCTGGACACGCACACACACACACACAACCTGAGTGTTTTTTCATACAGTGGGCTATGTGGGATCCAGTGCCTTATTCACCACACCACTACCAGCTGGGCCCTAGAATGTCATTCTTTTGGATAAAAGTGAATTTTTTCACTTGTGGTGAGATAATATTCACAAAAATTATCCAAGTTCCCCACAGGCAATTTGGATATACTTAGCACAGTTAAAATTAAATCGTTATAAAACAGGAACTACGAGTACCGTGTAGATAATGAGTTTCAATTAAAAATGATGTCACAACATAAATATGAGCAGAAAGTTTGAGTGTCAACATAGTCTATAGAGAAAAGTCTTAGTCAGCACCCAGTTATTAGTCACCGTAAGAAGATAAATAATTCTGACATGTAGGGCCCTGCTGACAGAGCAAACGTGTAAAAGACAGTATCCACAGTCCCCCGGAGCTGTTTATAAGCAGCGGCAGGTCAGCGTGTATTAGCCGGCTGTGTTTTGGGCCCATTTGTTTATAGTTCTTGGCGTGATGTAACCCTCCTTCTCCATTTTCCAGCCGGGCGCTCCGTCCTTCTCCTCTCTCGGTACCTCGTTTCTCAAGGCCTGTGAAAGCAGGGTGGAGTGGGCAGGGGAACACGGTTTGGGTATGGTGTTGGGGACATCAGTCCACCCCTCTCCTCGTCCTGCTCCCCCACGCTCTCATAGTAATACGTGTCTTTCGCTTGCCCTGGGACCGGACCAAGGTTCCCTGCTCAGCGCGGAGCGGTTTACATGCAAACATACGAACAGGAAACCCCATACCGAGCCGGTGTCCATAGTTGTCGAGCACGACTACCTCCGTGGGTATTCCTCTGGCCCTCCAACCCCAACTCCGAACCCATCCACTCAGAAAGTCCCTACTTCGGGAGCAGCGCCCAATGGGGGGCCCCCCCCCTGCCGTAGGTGAGGAATTCGTCTCCTTACGCGACAGTTCTCCTGCGCCAATCGGAGGCGACTCCAGCAGGCACGGCGCCAATCCGTCTCAGTGGGGAGTAGTGGGCGGGGCTGCACCTGGCTCCGGTGACTCGCTCGGCGGAGCGGCGGCTCTCTCCACCAATCGGAACGTGCAGGGGCGGGGCGCTGGCCAATCCGGCGTGGAGGGCAGGGCCGGGCGGGGCTCAACCTGGCGGCTGGAGCTTAGTCCCGGCGCCGGAGTTGGCGAGGCTGTGTGTGTGCCCAGGGCTCCGGCGGCAGCTGTTGCTTCGGGATCCTGATCGCGATGGGGACACAGACGAAAGCCGGGAGGACGTGCTTGTTTCTCTTCACATCGGTGATCCTGTGTAAGTTCGGGAGTTTCGGGGCAGTCGTGGGGTCGGGTCAAAAGTTGAAGGCGCTCCCCACGCCCCTTGCCGGCGGGAGGGGAGGAGTTCAGAAACCGGGCAGCCTCGCGCTCAGTCCTCTTTCCTCCCGGCTCGTCCCTTTTCCTTCCGCTCCCCCGCAGCCTGGGGCGTGCCTAGCTCCCCTCCCCCACACCGGTGTGTTGCGACCCTTCCCCTTTTACCCTCTGCCGGCGAGCTGCCCCCTCGCACGCACCAGAAAGAGCGGGGAGGGCCGGCCCCACTCTCCCACACCCTGTTTACCGGTGGGGCCGGCGGGCGCGAGGACCCCTCCCACAGGCATCCGCCCAGCCATCCTCCGCCCGCACCTGGGGAGGGCCCGCCTGTCCCTCCAACGCACACCCAGCATCCTGGAACAACCGTGGAGAAGCCATGAGCCTCTCCCCCCGTCCCCTTGGCTTCTTGTAGAGAACGTGATGGAGGGGGGCGGAGG